TGACACACTATAAAATTTTGAAAAATCAGAAAATTTCCCCAGTTTCACACTGAAAGTTTTTTAGTACATCTTTCTTAAAAGCATCAAAATTTATGCAAAGAAACTGTCGAAATGATTTGGTTACCATATTATTTTTCCTGTTCCTATTTACATTCTTTAAGGTTATCATACCTCCAAAGGAAATGCAGGGAAGTGAGTATTTTAGGCCTTGTAATTCTACTCACCACATGAGCCACTATGGTGACATGGTGTGCACAGAGTTCAGCAGTCCCATATCTGCCATGTAAAGAAAAGGCAATCAGGTTTATGCAATTACTCAGAAATACAAGGAGATTAACTTTCATAAAGCACTAAATACTCTGATGAGAACATAAAAACTGCCCTTATTTCCATGGCCAAGGAATATCACAACATACAAAACCACCCAAGCAATACTCATCTATTGGCTTGAACCAAAGAAAGGAAAGAGAGAATCCTGTTTCCTAATTTAGTGCCATGTGAAATCAAACCATTTGGTGATTATTATTAAAGAATTATTACAATACAATGCTTCTATTAACTTACAATTATAAAATCATTTACTACTAATAACCAATCCAAACACCAAAAAAGCAAGCATGTTGTACCGAGCAAGGAAACACCATGCGTCCATAGCTAACAAAGAGGTGATCATGTCAGCACTAAGAACAGCATTCAACAGAGCAGCATCCTAATGAGAAACAGAAAGGTTGATTTATGTAAATGTTAAACGTTTATAATAAATTATCATTTATATTACATTTCTCAAAATAAAATAAGAAAGCAGTATCAGAATCCAAATAACAGATCCTTAGTGGGAAGGCTGTACTTTACAGCATCTGAAAGAACATACACTGCCAGGCCCTCAATATTTATTGAGCACCTACTATATGTTAAGCACTGTGCTAGGTTATGGAGATTCACTCATGGTTTTAAATGTGGTAACTCAATCACTACTAGGATCCACAAATATTCTCTAAGTAGCCTGAAATCTTTAAAGCAACATAAATAACTTATACACTTACACTTTTCTTTCTGCCTTTAACTATTCACATATAATATTTAATATGTATTGTATATCACACATTGTGTACTATCTTAAACGATACTGATCCTTACGTGCATTCTTGGAATTTTTTCCTAGAATTTTCTCAACATCTTTTCTAATCCAACTCATTAAAAAACAAAATCTACATTATGCCTAAGATCTATAAGAGACTTGGTACTACACATGAGTATTTACTTCTTTCCTTTATGAAACTTAATTAGGTAAAATGCTACACATTTTTCCTCTTCTCACACTGTCTTTCCATACCTCCTCACCCAAAATGTTTTCTCAAATATTTTAGCCAAATATTAGATCTAAACACTACAGGAATCTAACATTGTCATTTTCTAGGACACAATTGAATTAAAAGATAAATAAAGCATACAATCTGAGAGAACGACATACAAATGAATATACAATAACTATTCCCACACTTTCTTCTGTATGTGAACCACAACTTCAATGAAAAGAAACCAAAGTGTAACCTTGGCATAGCCCAGCAAGTAACATGCTTACCAGTTCAGGAAACAGTGAGGGATCAAAGGAAGCAATAAATGAACACAGGTGAACACAAACATGCTGATACAAGGTGACAGCCACTTCGGCTTGCCCTTTACTCTTTACTCCCTGTAAATGAACAGGTAGAGAGAGTTCACCAGAACACTGCTCAAAACTGTTGAAAAGGGCTTTGAGTAGAGACACCCTGTGGGGAAATTGAGAACATTGAACCCAAAATTAATAACATTTAATATTAGTAGGTATAATAATATGTCACATGGAAGATTAAATAATTATTACAACACAATGCTTCTATTAACTTACAATTATAAAATCATTCACTACTAATAACCAATCCAAACACCAAAAAAGTGAGTATGTTGTACCAAGCAAGGAAACACCATGCATCCATAGCTAACGAAGAGGCAAAGCAAAGCAAAATGTCTCAAGAGGTATAATCAACAATAGTTTCCAATATGTGTGACTATGTATACATAAAAATAAATATATTCACTGTCAAAGAAATTCCTTAAAGGAGAATTTTCGTGGACATATTTTTTTCATCATTTACCAACTGTTTATCACAGTACTGAGTTACTCAAAGTCAAAGTTCTTCAAAAAACCTGAAACTAAAATAATGAAATTAGATGTTATATGGAAAACAGAAAATAAGTATTATAGTTCAGACAGGGAGGGGTCATTTTAAGATTGAAATGGTTGAAAAAACTTTCATAGAGGATTTAAATAACAAATTAAAAATAGGCCAGATACAAATAGGTAAAGAACACAAAACATGAATAAAAGGCAGACATAAATAACAAGTCTGACAGAAGCGAAGTATGTGTTGAAAATGAATAAAAGCAGAAGATGGCAACAGAATGGGATGGGCTTTAAACACAAAGCTGAGGAGTTCTGATATCATGCTTCAGTTTTTAAGCAGAAGAACAGAAAGCTCAGAATCAGGTTTAGAAGACTAACTCAGTAGTGGTGCATAGAATGGGCTAACAGAAGGCATGAAAAATTACAACATAGAATAATCCAGGGAGGAAGAAACTAGAGCCTGGACTACAGTGTTAGCAAGGAGTATGATTACAAGTGCAATTTCCCAAGAGATACCTTTTAGTATCTAGCATCTTATTTATCAGCACTTATTTTTAAATGTTACTCTATTACTGTCAATGTTTATAATGCTGACCATTAGGCAGTAAATACTGAACAAAATTAAAAATTTTAACATCTGATATAGATTTATATATTTTACATTTATTTTTATAAAGTAGCAATATATAT